CATCCTGGCTTCATTTGGCTTGTGGCACCAGTAGCTGGTTGGCATTTTCAGAGCATGCCGTTTCTGGGGAAACAATGGAGTGACCTTTATGAATTTTTTCCTACCCTCATGGGATTTGAAGCTTCTCTGTGCCCCTGTGGTGAGTCTGGAAAGGGATCGAATGATGTGTCTGTCTCTGAAGCCCCCAGTGCACAGGTGCGCATCCTGAGATAACAGGTGGAAACAAGAAGCACGCTGCTTCCAGGGCTTATCGAGATCTATAGCTGGGGTGTGTTGTTCTCTGGCTAATCTCAGTGTCTCCTGATGGATATGTTGTAGCTCCTGCCTCCATCAAACTTCCCCCCACCTCAAACCACTGGAGCCCACAACCATCCCTCTCTTTTGTGAACCAGTACAATATTTAGAATCATAGAAAATCAACACCAGAAGGAACTGTAGAATACAGCTGCTTAAAGCTGGAAGGGATATAAAAATGCAGAACACCAAATGTCACAGTACTGGAAGAGACCAAAGAACATAGAAACACATGTTAGATCTAGAAGGGGCCTTTAGAGACTGGTGGCACAGTGGAGAGAGTCAGGAAGGCCTGAGGTCAAATCTGATCTCAGACACTAGCTGGGCAAGTCATTTAACCCTGTTTCAGTTTTCTTATCTGTTAAAAAAAAAAAAAACCTGGAGAAGGAAATGGCAAACCACTTTGTCATCTTTGCCAAGAAAACTCCAAAAAGGGTCATAAAGAGTTGGATACAACTGAAAAATGACTAAACAACAATCCAGATCTTTTACTTTGTAAGTCAAGAGATCATGACTCAGAGAAAGTATATGATTTACCGAGGGTAACACAGCAAATCGCTTCAGGACTGAAAAGAGGACTTCTAACTCCTATTGCAATGCTTTTCATAGTACTTACTCTCAAAAGGTGGTTGTGAATCTCATAAGATCATGCATATAAAATACTTTGGAAACTTCAAAGCAATGTGAGGGTTAAGTATGGTGGTGGTGGTGGTGGTAGTGGTGGTGGTGAGGGTGGTGATTTTGCATCAAGATGGGTAGAATTCTGGCTTGGCATCTGAAAGACCTAAGTCTAAATTCTACTTTTGACTGAACAAATTCTTTAAACTGTAAGAACCACAAATAACTCCTAAGGACTTAAATACCATGCCCAGAAAAAAAGCTTATGAGTAATTTTTCCAACCACTCAGACAATTTTAAACTCAGGAATTTGGAAATAGTTTGGGGCATCATTAATAATGATCTGAGATCTCATTGGCCAACAACTGCTCTTCCCACACAGCTCAACATCACAAAGAAATCTGAATTTATGTCGTTTGAGAAGAAATCAAGGGATGAGATATCAAGCCTCCATTCCCTACGCTGTTGATTCCTGGGAAACTCAGGGAGAGATCCAGAAACCTATTGATTGACTGCCTCCACTGAGCAACAACAGAGGACAATTGATAACTTCTCCACCTATTGATTGACTGCCTCCACTGAACAACAACAGAGGACAATTGATCACCTCTCCACCTCTTCCCTGTCCTCATCTCCAAGCCCCCAGGACAAGACACACACACACACACACACACACACACACACACACACACACACACACACACACACACCCTTATCTGACCATTCCCATCTTCAGACCTCTGATAATGCTTACCTAGATCTAATCTGCCTTTTCCCACTAAGTTGTCCCTATTATCCAGGCCTGACTCCAGTACCGAATACTTTCTTCACCAAGCCCTGACTACTTGAACCAGAAATTATTTTTCCATTAAACTAAACTGCCTATTATCTGAACTACAAATTAAGACAACTGATTATTCAATGTAATACCTAATTGGACAGGACTTATGTTATTCTCTAGTTGTTTCATGTAGGCAAGTCTTGTCTCCCTCAAAAGAGGTCAGGCATGATGTTTATATTAAAATTGCTTATATTTGTAATAATTAAAATTATTTATTTTATAATAGTTTATGTTTACATTCAATTTGATTTAATAAGCATTTGTTAAGTGCCAACTATATGAAAAGCATTATGCTAGGATCTGGGAATACAATTATCCCCATTTTATAGATCAATTAACTGGGGCCAGAGAAAGTAAAGTAGGCTGCCCAAGGACAGTGACCAAACCATGGTTCGAACTCAGGTCTCCTGACTCCAGATCTAACTCATGGTTCCATGAATAGGCTCTTAAATAATAATGTGACAGCTTTAAGTAAATATTTAGTTTTAGTTTTTCTTCAAATTTCCAAGTGCTGTGTAAAATATGGACATCTTATGGGCCCTCGATCTCAGTAGGAGACTTTCTTTTCCTCTAAGTATTTGGGTGGCGTCCCCCCATGCATTTCCTAAGGAGTCCAATTTCCCCAAAGGCCTTATAGTAAACAACACATGTCCCTCCTTTTCCCTAGAGTCTTATGCTTGCTGTAGGAGAAAGATGAAATAGGAAATATTTTGACAAGGGAGTAGGTATTTTTAAAGCTGCTACCCACCATCCAATGAAGAGCATGAAACACATGGATAAACAAATGTGTTAGAAGCAGATGGAAAGACAATTCTTTAAAATAAGTCATTTTAATTCCATCTGGAAGACGCAATCCATTCATTCATTCACTTGTTATTCAACCACCATTTATTAAGCAAATGAATGAGGAGCCCTTTGCTGGGGGTGGGGTAGTTAGAGCTTTCACACATAACACTGTTCTCTACTCTAGACTCAGTTTCATAAACAGTTATTAACCTGTTCTGTGTAAGATCCTCTGGATATGGAGAAAAAAGAAGAACCAGTGCTGCCCTCAAGAAGCTTATGTTCTATTGCTCTCAAAGACCTCACAGTCTGTTGTTGTTCAGTCAATTGGCAGGCATGTCTGACTCCTCATGACCCCATTTAGGGTTTCCTTGGCAGAGATACTAGAGTGTTTTGTCATTTCCTTTACCAGCTCATTTCACAGATGAGGAACCGAGGCAAATAGGGTTGAGTGACTTGCCTGGGGTCATACAGCTAGTAAGTACCCAAGATCAGATTTGAACTCAGGAAGACGACTTCAGGTCCAGCATGCAATGTAGCATCTAACTGTCCAATGAGATATAAATACAGACATACATATACACACATATATGCATACATATATGTAACATGTATATATGATTGTGAATAAATATGTGCATAACTATAATATGTATACATATTTATATGTAAACAATTAAGAATTAAAATTCAGTTCACCTGTCCTATCTTCATTTCTCCCCAAATCAAAGAAAGAAGAGGCCCTCATCATTGTTGCAACTAATCCCTATCCCTGTGTTATTGAACCCATCTCCTTTTGATTTCTACAAAACCTTGCTCTTCTAATTATACCCTAAATCTACTGAATATTTCCCATCAACTAATAACTATTTTCAACCCCACCCCTTTATCAAAACAAGGTTTCCAGAACATTTGATTGAGGCTGTATGGAAGACATATAAGAGGACATGGACAAGAATCACATAAGATGACAACATGTGGATGGATTTTGACCTGTACCATTAGAGGGCGAGACCTCATTGATAAATTCATGGACTCTTTTTAGTATTGTCACATTCCCATTTCAAAAATCCATAAAAATATTATGAATGCTCAGGATGGACTGTTTTTAATTCCCAGTCATTATTGTCAAGTAAAGTTTTGGTTAACTGAAATCCAACTAACCAAAATCAAATACAGGCTCACCATTTCTTATGGCACAATAGTGTTCCTTTTTTTGTTTGTGTTTTCTTTCCTAACATGACTAATATGAAAATATGCTTTGCATGCTTGCACATGTATAAGCCATATCAAATTGCTTACAGTCTTGGGGAGGAGGGAGAAGGGGGAAGGAGAAAGAGAATTTGGAACTCAAAATTAAGAGAAAGAATGTTGAAAATTGTTTTTACATGTAATTGGAAAACATATTCAAAAAATTAAAAAAGTATATACTGTCTTATCCGTAACAGCCTATCAGAGGTTGTCTTTTCAGATAGTGATCATGTCTTCTCCCTTATCTTTTTTTTTCTCAAGGCTAAATATCTTCAGTTCCTTCAAATGATCTTTGCATAACATATTTTCAAGTCCCCTCACCAATATAGCTGATCTTCTCTTGAAATTCCCTTCATTGCTCATTACCTTCTTTGAATGTATGTCCAATAACTTGTAGTGTTTGAATATAAGAGGAGAATATGGTGAAACTCTCTTCTCTCTCATTCTACATATTATGCTTCTTTTACAGCCTAAAATTTCAGCTTCTTTGACTCATTAACTTTGCAATTGACCAAATCCTCCAGGTTTCATTCAATTGTTCAATACTCAAAAGAGTGGTGATATCATCAGTGTGGCTCTTCCTTCCTCCATCTCAGATTTCAACCCTTCCAAGGCATAGAAGATGGTTTTCATAAGTTGCTGTGACCAAAAAAACAAAACAAAACAAAACAAAATACCCTATTGCCTTGTAGCCAATATTCTGGTCATGAGTGCGTCTGCACCTGACTATTTTGGTTCTCAGATAATAGGCCTACAATCTACACTTGGTCCTATACTGACTCTTTCCAGCTCAGTGTCACCTGTCAGAGTTCAGAATCCAGGATCACCCTTCAGACATGATGAGGCATCAGAAAAAGACTTTTGAGGCAGCTGAGTGCAATAGAATGTAATATAGTTGTGGAATAGACTATAGTATAGTTGATCAGAGCTTTGACTAGAAATTTTTGTGCTTGGGGTAGGTAGTACAAAACATCCTTGCACCTGGACCAAGCAACACAAAATATATCCTCAGTTCAGTTGAAGAGGAGTGAATGATAGCAGAATGTAAAGTGAGGAAAGGAAAGCTGAGCCAAGAAAGAGCTTACCAGGGGTATTAACTAGGAGATATTCTTAGTTGTTCAATGTTGCTTAAGGACAGGAAATGTTGGGATCCCTTTAAATGGGAAAAATCTCATGTGGCCCTAATCTTGATAAAATATTTAAAGGGGCTTACCATGCTCATCCAATAATATGTTGTCTGGCTTGATGTCTCTGTAAAATAAAAATAAAATAAAATAAAATAAAACACAACATGTTTTTACCACCAAAATGGCTCAATCCTTACAACAATAAATGTCTACTAATCCCTAGCATGTTTTCTTTCTCCATCTATGAGTCTTACAAAACTAGAAAGATAAGAATAATTGCTTTAATACAGTTACTGGGCTTTTAGTTTCTCTTCTTCCTTGGCATTATCAGCAGACAGACTCAGACATTTCCTAAACCTTATTTTGGGCTCTGCTATGGTCTGTCCCATGGCAATGACACTACGCTAATATAGCAATATGTAGTAAGCGTATTAAATCATTGATATGTATCCTTTGACCCAGTGATTCTTATTTCTATGATTATACCTTAAAAATGGTAATCAATGAGGAAGAAATATAAAGCAACAATGCTCGTGTTCAACAATTGGAGAAATGTTAAATAATTTATGGGATGATATATTTGTGCAATGGAATATTATTGTACCCTGAGAAACTACGAATCTCTGGGGAAGGCAAACAGTTGCCTTCCATTATTAATTATCAATAGAGCTCTTTGATGCTGATGATTGAATGAGATTTGATCAGACCCTTGGGTGTGTTTGTGAGAGAGAGGTAGTGGAGCTATCATTTATATAACACACGCTGGGATTGTGAGCAGGTGGAGGGGAGGGAATGTTTGTTGTGAGCTGCTGTGAGAAGTAGAGTGACAAGATTGGAGAAGAGCGTGAAATGGCCCTTTGGGAGGCCCTAGCATGTGTGTGTGTGGTGGGCAGGAGAGGGAAAGAGAGAGAGAAAAGAGAAAGAAGGGGGCAGTGGAAGAGATGAGAGAGACAGTAAGAGAGATAAGAGAGAGGTACAGCAAGAGAGAGAGGAAAAGAGAGGAGGAGGAGGAGGAGGAGGAGGAAGAGGAGAGAGAGAGAGGGAGAGACAGACAGACAGACAGAAAGAGAAAGAGACAGAGACAGAGATGCAAAAGGGGGGTATTCTGCTTATGGCAAGAGGTAAGGATCAAAGAAGGGCTTTTGGAGATCATGCAGTCCAGGGATTCTTTTGTACCTCTTTTGTACCATGGAGCTCTTCGGCCATCTGATGAAGCCTATGGACCCCTTCTCAGAATAATGTTTTTAAATGCATGAACTAAAATACATAAGATTACAAGGGAAACCAATGAAGATATAAAAGGGTCTTTAGTGGAAAAATAGTACTACTACAACTGCAATAATATGGAAACCTCTCTATAATCTGCAGCCTTTCAGAGTTGCCTGAGCCTCAGAGAAGTTAAGAGACCTGAACAAGGTCACATAGCCATAAAATGTAAGGGATGGGATTTAGACAGAGGTTTTTCTGACTTCAAGTCTATTTCCCTCTCTCCCCACCAAGCATTTCTTTGTAGTACTTTGTAGATGGTTGGATATAATACTAGGAGTATTGATTTAGGAGCACAAGGTCTGGGGACAAGAGCTAGTTCAAACATTGACAATGTGGCATTGGGCAAGTTATTTCATGTCCATGGTCTTCATTCAGGTTCATCTGCAATATGGGGGCTTAGACATGCCCTATTCTAATTCTAGGCTTGGTGTTACAATAGATAGCATTGAATGACTTGAGTTCAAATCTGCCCTCAAAGACTTACTAGCTGTGTGACCCTAGGCAAGTTACTTCATCTCTCTCTGCCTCACTTTCCTCATCTGTAAAATGGGGATAATAATAGCACCTACCCCCTGGATTGTTAGGATCAAATGAAATTAAAGTGTAATAGAAATGCCTGTGATTATTATGAAGGAAGGAATTTTAGAGTCCATTTAGTCCAACCCCTTCATTTTACAAATGAGGGAACCAAAACGGCAGAGTAAAGATAGGCACTTGCCTGAGCTCTCCCAAATCCCCCCCAAACAACTTTAAATAATGCCTCAAAACAAGTCCTAGAACAGCAGAACACACCAAACGATGCAGTAAAAAACAATTTTCCATCCCAAGACAACTGAGAAGATTGACAGGAAAGGTCTGTTGCACCAGAATGAAAATGAAGCACATTCCGGTACGGGATGTGCCATTCTTCCCCTACTCCAGTACATCCTTCCCATACCTGTTATAATAATCTTCCTAATGAATATGTTAAGCTAGGTTATTCCTCTGCTCAAAAGCTTTCAGTGGCTCCTTATTGCCTCTATGATAAAATAAAAATTCCTTCTCCTGGCATTTTAAAGGATTTCAGATAAAAATGTTCCAACCTACCTTTCTGGCCTTATTTCACATGACTCCCCTCCCTACATGTTCCCTTTTAGCCTTACTAGATAGCTGGCTATTCCCCAAAACCCTTATTTTGCTTCTGTGCATTCATGAATACTTCCCCTCATGACAGTCCGGTATAAAAATGTATCTTCATTTCTACTTGGTGGAATCCATCTTTCCTTCCAGGCTCAGCTTAGGAACTTCTTGTTATATTATTCTCCCAACTGAAAGTATTCTTATCCTCCTCAAATTATCTTGACTGGACCTCTCCTTTGCCCCCAACCTTGTAGCATCTATCAATCACAACCAAACAAAATGTTTATTAAATCCCTATTATGTTCGAGGCACTGAGGATACAAAGAAAAAAATGAAACTATCCACTTCCTTCAAAGAGCTTATATTTATTAGGGAGACAATAGATACAGGTATCATTATGTACAAAAGGCATACAAAATAAATACATGCAAAGAGATACTATAAGAATTTGGGAGCAAGAGAAAGCACTAATAACCAACCAGGGAAACCAAGGAAGGCTTTCCATAGATGTGGGACTTGAGCCGATCCTTGAAGGAAGGAAGAGATTGTAAGAGTCAGAAATGGAAAAGGAGTGCATTCCAGGGATGGTAAATAGCCTAGGCAAAGGCCTGAAGGTATTACAATATGTAGAATTCTGAGTTCAGGAAATGACAAACAGGCCAAGTTTGGCTGCATTCTTCACTTCCCCTAGGCAGATTTACTCAATACTCTATTTTAGCAAAACATATCATTTCCACCTCAGAATCTTCTGGCATGATGCACAAAAGCAACTTGGCTGATCAACCTTTCCTTCTTATATTTTAAACATTAAGCTTTGAAATATTCATCTCTATTAGGAATCCTTTCTCTTTAAATTAGACCACTATTTGACTATTTATAGAGTTGATAATAGAAGGGAATCCTGGCCAGGGACAGTTAGACTAAATGGCCTGGAATACCTCTTCCAGTGGAGAGGTCTTATGATTCTATGAATTAAGCAAATGTACAGAGAGAAGTTTCTGGGATAGACACCTTTTAAATGTTCCTCTTTGCTTGCTACCTTATCATCATTAAAATACTTTAGTGACTATTAAGCCATATATCATACTCCCTCATTTTATAGATGAAGAAAATGATGTCCAGAGTGGTAATGGTTAGCCCAAGATCATGAGGCCAAATTGTGCCCGATCCAAGAGGACAAACCATGTCTGATGGTTGCCATTATGGTCCTCTTTCCCCCATTTTGACTCCTAACACAAAAGCAAAACAGGAGTTATTGCTGTATTTGGGTGACATAAATGCCAAAATGATGCTAACTGCTGCTTGCTCTGTCCTGTCATATACTGTCCTCCACATCAGTGCTGTGAGGTTTACATAAAATGGATAAGACATGGACCCTTCCTTTATGGTATTTCTGAATTTTCTAAATGATTTTCTAAAATATTATGGTATAACTTTATTGTTAGTACCATCTCAGAAGCTGGCTTTTAGGTTGTAGGGGCAGGAAGATAGCAGCTGCTGCCAATCGATCTAATAAGAGTAGCTACTTCTTCCTACCCTGATACTGCTTTCAGGCTTTTAATAAAAGCACATATCTCAGGCCTTCCACTAGTCCATCATACTGTAGCTGTGTAACTGACTGTCTTGGAAAGAAAGAGAGAAAGCCAACTGAAACTCTATGCAGCAAAGCAGCGTGACTTCTGCGGTCTGTTGCTCCCAAGTGTATTTCTCTGTGTCTTTTTGGTGTGTGTGTGTGTGTGTGTGTGTGTGTGGTGGTGGGGAGAAGAGAGCACATCATGCTGTGAGCTCCTTGCTGTCTTGGACACAGAATACACTGAAGGGTTTTGCTGAAAAAATAAGGTTACTGATAGTTGCATCCTTGTCAATACTTTCTGTTGTTGTTGTCCAGTCATTTCAGCTGTGTCTGACTGTGATCCCATTTGGGGTTTTCTTGGCAAAGATACTAGAGTGGTTTGCCACTTCCTTCTCCAGCTCATTTGACAGATGATGAAACTAAATAAAGCGAATAGGGTCAAACAACCATTAAGTGTCTGAGGCCAGATATGAACTCAGGAAGATGAGTCTTCCTGACTCCAGATTCAGCACTCTATCCACTGAACTATCTAGCTGCCCCCAATACTTTCTGAGACTTTTCTATTCTTCTGGGAGGGCCTGACACAGAAGACAGTAACAAGAAGTGCTGAATTCTGATATCTAGGCTATAAATGCCACAGGAACTCAAAGGGACAGAGTAATCAGGGCAAGCTTCAAGAAAGAAGCAGACTTTGAGTTAGATCATGAGGAATGAATAAGATGGATTTGAATTGGTGAGGGAGTGCATATAAAGAGGGCATTCCATGGGGCAGCTAGGTGGCACAGTGGATAGAACACCAACCTTGGAGTCAGGAGGACCTGAGTTCAAATTCGGCCTCAGACACTTGACACTTACTAGCTGTGTGACCCTGGGCAAGTCACTTAACCCCATTGCCTAGTAAAACAAACAAACAAAAAAACAAAATGAAACAAAGAGGGCCTTCCAGGTAAGGGAAAGAAGCCAAGCAAAGACATGGATGTGGGAATGAGCAAACCCAAACGTGCCAAATGTGTATTTCATTGTTTTGGGGAGCAACAAGCTTTAAAAAGAAGAGTTAGTTTCATAAATACTTCACTGTTGGTGACTAGCTGCTTAACCTTAAGTAAGTCCCTTTGAGACAGTGAGTTCTGTTTTGGGCATGTTGAGTTTCATACAACTGTAGA